TATATATTCACCTGCTGATGGACATGTAGCCTGGACCTTTATTTTTAAACTATTATCAATAATGTAACAATAATCTTGGGTGGGCAGATATCTCTGGAGTATTATTTAGAGTCCTTTGGTTATATACCCAGGAGTGGTATGGCTGGATAATATAGTAGTTTTGTTTCAATATTTTGAGGAACCTCCATACTGATTTCCATAGTGGCTGCACCAGTTTACACCCCCACGAGCAATGGATAAGGGTTCCTCTTTGCTCACATTCTCATCACATTTGTTATCATTTGCTTCCTTGATGTTAGCTCTTTAAATGGGGCAAGGTGGAGTCTCAAAGAAATTTTAATTTTTTTTCCTGATGACTAATGATGCTGAATGCTTTTTACAATATTTACTGGCTATATGTGTTTCTTCTTTTAAGAACTGCCTATTTAGTTCATTATCCCACTATTGATTAGAAGATTTTGTATCTGGGACAGTATTTGATTTTTGTAGTTCCTTACATATCTACTCTGGATATCTACTCTCCTGATTGAAATATGGTTTGCAAAGATTTTCTTTCATTCTGTAAGCTGTCACTATTTGCTTTGCTTTTTAGTTTCATGTAATCCTATCTGTCACTTTTTGGGGATTATTTCCTGTGCTACTAAAGTTCTCAGAAGGTACCACAAACATTTATTTATTTATTAATCGATTGATTGATGACAATTGGCAAGATCACATTTATCTGTTTTCCTTTATGACTTCTGGCTTCACTGTCTTGATCCATTTAGGAAACTTATTTTCTGAACTCCATGCAACATTAAGAAGCAGATTCCTTCGTGAGGCTGCTTCACCAGACATCTACTTCAAAGAGACCAAGCACAGCAAAGAAATATTTGCAAAAAAAGGTTTAACTGTAGTCAATAGTAATATAGGGTGTGTAATGCTAAGAGCTCTAGATCTGTATTGCTGAAGATATTACATACTTGAGCTATAGAATACTGATCAAGCTCTATCCCTACTGACTAGCTTCCATAGTGCTTGAAGGTGCTATGATTAAGAACTATAATAATGACCAACCTGGTAAGATATGCTCAGTGGTGCTATAGTGGCATGGGTGCCATGGGAACAACCAATCACTTTCTGAACATCTTGAAGCCAACTTCACAACATAGTAAAAACCATACCTGTTACTGTTATTAGCAACAAAAAACTTATGGTCAGACAGGTCATAGACCCTAGGAAAGAACTTACTGTTAGAGAGCCTAAAGCATCATAGGATTAAACTGACTTCAAATGATTTATAATCATACCCATAAATTAGTGCATCTCTCAAGCAGCATCAGAGGAGTGTGTGATTAACACAGGGACCACAGCTGGTTAAGATGTGGAGAATAAGAGACCATGGAATGCTCATTCCTAAATGAGACATATAGCATACCTCCTTCTTCCCAATGTGCCTGGATGATTGCAGAAGAGGCAACAGGTTGTAAGAGCTAGAAGCAGTGAGTAACTACAAGGAAACACTATTTTCTGGACACAACAGGGCAGTTGCACATATGAATTCACAGTGCCTGTGACAGTATGTACAAGACATGAGCAACTCAAGTTAGACCAAATCCCACCATGGAGAGGGGAGGTAAAAACAAACTCCCAAACCAGGACTGGAAGGGCTCATTTTTCTTTAAGAGCGTCCACTGATAAGCAAACCACACTCCTGTGAGTACTGACACCCTCTAGAGCATATGGGCAGCACAAATTGGACTTGTTGAATTTTATAAAAAGAGACATAAAGTTAGGTGGGTAGAGAGGTAGGGTGGATCCGGGAGGAGTTGAGGGAGGGCAAATGAATATAACCAAAAACTTTTGTATGGAATCCTCAAAAATTAATTTTAAAAATGTTTTAGGGTTGGATAGTCTTGGAGACTACCCATTTTTCTATGTAAGAGTTTTAGGTGAACAACTGGAGACTTAGGTAAGATTATGGATGGGAATATTTGTGTCTTAGTCAAATTCATACGATGCCAAATGTGACTGTATTTGCACAAAGAGCCCTATGGAATCAGTTAAGTTAAATGGAATGGACACCTGGTCCAATAGGATTAATGTCTGTCTAAGAAGATAACCAGAGGCTCCACAAATACAGAGGCAAGGCTACACGAACATAAAGCAGGATGGTAACTCCAGACTGACAGAGGAAGTTTCAGATTGAAATGGAATTGTCTGGCACCTTAACATCCCAACTTCAAGAAAATGTCTTGTGATATTTTTATTTTGTTCTGACAAATAAAGGTTGCTCGGAGTCAGAGGACCTGGTCAGCCACTAGCTGACCAAAGTAACCACAGGGGTTTGGCGGTTTGTAGAAAGGAGACAGGAAGTAGTAAGGCAAGATGGAGGAAGGATCTCAGCCCTTTTTGGACAAAGGAACTGAAGAGATAGGAAGTAACTGACAGCTGCTCCCTGTTCTCTGATCTTTCATACTCTTACCCCAATAGTTGACTCCTAATTTTTTATTGATAAGATTAATTAGATTAACATTTCAAGAACATAAGTGTCTTGTTTAAGCCAACCAGCTTGTTGCATTTTGTTATGGTAGCTGGAGCTGACTTACACGAAGTCTGATTGAATACTGACATCCAAGAACAGACTCTCAAGTCATGTGTGTGTCCATGAAGGTATTTTGATGTAAATTAAATTGTATGTTTCTCTATTCCTTTTAAACCAAATTTGCTTTAAGACAGGACTTGGAGACTGGAGTTCCCAGAAGAAGGGAAGTGGCTTTACAGAGCTATCTTCTTGTCCTTTCAGAAGGATGCTGAGTCCCTCCTGCACCAAGCATAGAAGACTGTGGATCTAGAAGCCACAAGGCCAAGTAAACCACATCCCCATGACAGCAACATAGCATAGTAAACCCATATTAATGAAGTCCCATTCATACTATTTGCCTTGCTTCATACATGACTTTTCTTACCTGTAAATCTCCTTGTTCCAGGGGACTGAGAGGTGATACACACACAGCAGCTAGATTATATAGGAAAGTAGAACTCTGACCCACAGCCTGCCCTGGAAACCAGCTCCTTATCTATAGCAAAACAGCTCAGGAAGCCAGCCTGCTATAGGTCAGACTCACAGGAAGCCAGCCTGCTATCGCTGGTAACAACCTAGGAGCTAAGCCATAACCCTGTAAGTATCAGCTCCCACTGGCCAAGACTTGATTAATAAGAAACAACTTCCCTGATCTTTGTTTCTGCTTTTAATTTAAAACCAATTAAAGAAAGCTAAATATGTCCCCCTAGCCAATTACAGATGATGTTAGGCTAACTTCAGTGCCCCAAGGTCAACAGCCCCTAATCAACCAAGCCCATCAAAAAACTACCCTTTTCCTCAGCAAAATTTGCTTGGGTCTGTTACTGCTTTGGATCTGTCAAAATGTAAATGATGATGGTGGGTTCCCTTGCCCCTCAGCTCTGAACACAAAGCTTTGCCATTGTTATTTGGCTTGTCTCTATTCATTTCCACACCATCTTCGTGGATGATCTGGGAAAACCCCTTTACCCTTAATTCTGCTCTGAAACATTTTCTGTTACATTTATCATGAAAATAATTTTCATATGTGATGGAAAATGGTTAAGGGAATCTCATGCAAAACTTGAATGAAAGTAGAAATTAATCCTTGGCCTGAAGTACAGGAACACTCCATTCTTCTGGTATACATGAACTTTGAAATCGGCCCATGAACCCAAGTCCCTGGGGTGCTGTGTCTCTAGGCCTTTACCACGTGTTCCTATTGTCTTTCACCCTGTGTCACTTTTGCAAAAGTGTGTGTAAGACTTAGTCCTACATTCCCAAGTTCTTGGATGTGACCCCCAGTGGCTGCAGTTCCCTGTCCTCAAAGTATCATTGAGCATGAGGTGGTGGCTTGTCCTTCAGGTTGACCCTCCGGGGACTGGGCACATAGTCTAGGTGGTTGTTTTGTTCCAGCTGTAGAAGAATCATGAGGAACACTTCAAAGGACTCTCTCAGGGCTGATCTTGGCAGTTCTGCTGTTTTGAAAGACAACAGAAAAGTGGAAAGGCAGGATTTTGCTTCTTGGAGCTTCACTGCTCAACTCTGGGAACAAGAATATCAAGTGCTTGGGGAAGAATCATTTGAACCAGGTCTTTATCTGCCTGCTTGGGAACAAGACCTTGTATAAAAACAAAAACAGCAACCAAGAAACTTGTGGCTTAACTCAGACCACTCAGTATCCTTCCCTGATTTGTTTTTCAATATGAATTGTTTTCTTAGAGTTCAATGTTACTGATAAACATTCATTTCAATAAGTTTAGAAATTCTGAGGTTTCTAGGAGTTGTCTTCATTGACAAAAGTCATTCGATGGAAAAATAAAGATCCCAAGCTGCCATTTGTTGTTTGGTAGCTTATTTCCTTTCATAGATGGTTTGCCAGGATTTAACCCATGTGGATAACAGCACTCAAGCAGGCTCAAAGAGAATTGTTTTGATTGGCCAGTCTTGCAGGAGGGTTGGCCAGTGATGAAACAATTCAAAGTAACAGAGTTCAGGAAGAGTGGAGTCAACACAGACACAATCTACCAATCTAATTTTTTCTTGTCTATAGATATGGATCAGGTAGTCACATGGACTGGAGACTTTGGGTCCAGTTTATCCAGCATAGATTGGAAATCACAGTCCCTTGCTTTGTGTGTCTCTGATTCAGAAATATGGTTTAAGGTTACAAATATATGAGTTACAGACAACTAGCAGACCCTCTTGGGGAGAGGTATCAGAAGAAGTCAGTAAATCCAATTGATGGGGAAAGTTGATGTCCTTGGAGGGGTGTTTACTAGTCAGGCAAACAAGGAATAGAGAAAAATGTGTTAAGCAGGCAATTGTTTTTGTTGCTGTTTGTTTACACATTAGTTTTTTTTTTTAAATTACCACTGCCTTTAAATTATAGGATAATTAGAACCAACCTCATCAATACCTTAATCCCTTTGTGCTGTCTTGTAAGTATTAAAACTAGTATAGTCCTTCTTGTAAGTATCAAAACTCACACTGAACAAGGAGTTCCGAGTTGCAAAAGAGGATTAATTTTTGCTCCTGTCTAACCTGGTTTGGCCATCCACTGAACAAAAACATACACAAGTGCTCAAGGCCTTTGCTTTGAATTACAATCACACATTGAATTCTCGGCCCTGGCCCACATATTTCCCCATCCCATGCCAGGCACCACTCCTAGTTTCTCATTGGGTTGGTCTGCTGACTGACTTCTCTGGATGTCCACTTGGCCACCCTCATTAAACAGTCACCCTCTCTGAATTTTCCTTCCCATCTCTTATCTCTTTACCATGATATTTTAGTCCTTAGAGCCTTTAGATGTCTGACAAGGAACCTGCTTTTCTTGGCCAAACTTTTATCGACTCCTGAATCCTTTTCTAGTCTAGGCTTGGTCCATAAGTCTGACCTTGGTCTGCTAAGTCCAGTTTTAGTAGAGGCCTGTTCTTAGTCACTTTATAGAGAACCCTGTCTTAGTTAGGGTGCTATTGCTGTGAAGAGACACCATGACCCCATGACCTCAGCAACTTTTACGAAAAACATTTAGTTGGTTGGCTTACATTTTCAGAGGTTCAATCCATTATCCCTCCTATTTCTTAGCAACCATTTTTTTTTTTACTTTCCTTTACTTGATACTTCATGTCTTAGAAACTATTGTTGCATGTGTTTTAGTTATTTCATGCAGGAAAGAAAGATATATTTTGGGCAGAAGTCAAAACCTCTGAAAAGGACTACCATTCCTCATTGATCAGTTGATAGCCTATATTGAACATGGTATATGTTTTCTTTTGGTTAGGCTTTGTTTAATTTTTCTTTAGAAATACTCTTAGTTATTGGTATAGAGACCCTCTAGCTATTGTTTTAGAGTTATTCCTAACTATTCAGTTTTTAAAATTTATTTCTGGTAGCCCTTATTGTTTTGGGGAAGTCTATATTTCTTGCCTAGTATCAGTTCCATTGGACCTGAAGAAATTCTTTATAATTTTTTCTGTACATGCTTAATTGAATTAACTATGCTGTTTTGCAAATATTTGGATCTTTAGAAATTATGATCTTTATGATTTATCTTGTTTTGTGCTCATTGTTAAGGTCCCTATGTGTACGCAGGTTTGTTAACTTATTCTAACATAAAGTTAGAATGGAACCTGAATATATAAAACAGATCAAATGGAATATTTTTGGATAAGAAAATGCTTGAAGGGGAAGGGCAAGGGCAAGGGAGGAAGCATATTTGAGTGGGAGTGGAGTGGGGCAAGGGAAGATGTCTCATGGCTTCCTTACTATGCTTTGGTTGTCTTCTTGGAGATGGTGTGAAGCTGTTTGAAAAACTCTAGTCAACCCACCAATTTTAAATCTCATTGGAAGTTTCCCATTTTTACTCCAGGGTTTAATTTTCTCAATATTTTTGGTGTTCAATGCTGTCTTCTTTTCTGTATGCCACTACTAATGTCATTTTCACCCCACTGGATGTTTGTCTCTCTCCTAATGTAATCTATTTACCTCGAAGGGTCGTGTCACCTGTGAGTACTTCTGTGTCCTCAAGACTGCGATGACACTTTTTGTTGGGGCTGTGGAATTTAGATAGTTGCTATGGTACATAGGGCCACAGTCCTGGTTTGGTTACTGCTACTCTTGCTTCTCTGGCTAGACATCATTTCTTCTAGGGAGACACTCTGTTGTAACTCTTCTTGTGTCTTATTGGGGCCTAGAAGAGATAGGCATGCCCATGCATATGTTCTGTCATGACCACTGTGGAAGTGTGAAACTCATTTATTTGACTGATGAGACTCTGTATTATCCAGGGTTGTCTTGTGTCCATGATTTAGCATTTTTATCTTGAGGCCCACAAGACAAATGAACCCATTTCAGATTGTTGTTAACCCTTTGAAACAAGGCATCTGTTTCCACAGCTATGCCATAGGATTCTGACTCAATGTGTCTTGTCAATGTGAGTAGTGTCTGAAAATTCCCTACTTTGCCTCAGTTGGGTAGACTGGCTGTGGTCCAGAACCATACTTCAGTTGCATTAATGTGGCTATGAGAGGCACCAACTGAGAGTATGTCTTTTCCCTGATATGCATGGAGCTGTGAGCGACACAACTGGCCTATTGCAAGGTGACACCTGGAATATCTAGTCAGGCTCTCAACATGTAATTGCCAGGATTTAGAATTATATGTTGCTCCTGATTCAGCCTGGTTGCTTTTCCTTGAAACAGCTACTTCCAGGCATTTCTATCCTAAGATTTCTGAACAATATGGCTTCTTCCTTTATCCCCAGGGAAATTGAAAAAACTTTTCTTTTATGAGGACAACTCGGTCAACCCCTTTCCCAAGCCTTTTGTTTTTGGCTCTTGCAATTGTCATTGTGATAGCAATATCTACCTCAAGAGAGTTGCTATGAAGATTTAAAGGCACCAGACTTGTTTGAATTTTACTTATGCTCTGCAGTGTGCATGGTTTCCAAGGCCTTTTAATGTACATTATGCATGTTCTTCGTGAATATTTCATGCAAGTTCTTCAAATCCTTCTGTGGGATGATTGAAGTAGGACAAAACAACAAAGGAAACACAAAAACCGATCACGCCAGTTTCTTTAGAATACCCAGGTTTTGGGGAGTCAAGGTCCAAATTTTAAGACCACAGAACAAACTGTCACTATGACCTTCAGATCCAGTCTGTGGCCTGACACACTGGGAGCCAACTTCCGCAATCTCTGACCTTGCAAGGGCATGAAGCCTGGATGGCAAAGACCCAAATCTGCAAGCCTCTATCGCAGAAGTTTTCATTTTCATTTCCAGGGTACTCTGTACATTTTTTAAAACTACATTGTCTTTTACCAGCGTGTGTGGGGATACACCCTAACCCCGCCCCAGGAAACCTGGACAGGTGTGTCGGGCTATGCCGGCCCGTGAGGGCAGGGTGAGGGGAAGTCTGAGATGACGTAGAAGGAGGTTCAAAAGGAGCAGGGCTCACGTGGAAAGCCCCTCCTCTCTGGCCGCCCTAGCTTGTTTCCTGTGAGCTCGCTCGGGTTTTGGACTGTTGTTTACCTGAATAAAGAAAGCCTCACGGACTGCAGTTCATCTTTGAGCGCAGGCGGCAACCTTCAACAAGCGTGACATAGTTTCTTTGAAAAACTTCTATATATCTTTTAGGAGGACTAAACCCTTTGTATTCATTCATGTTGCCTTCATTAAATCATGTGTCCAGCCACCATCCTGTCATTCTGCATTTGATGCTGATAAAAGTTGAAATTTAACATCTACTCAGGCATCAGTTGCTAGACCAGGACTGTTTCCAATAATTCAAAATGATCTGTGACCAGTTTGTACACTTTAAATTCATTAGACTGGTGAATCCTGCCCTCTGGTAATAGCTATGGACACAGGTAGTAAAATTACCTGGATCTCCAGGAAATTTGCCATTGGGTAGCTTAGTCTCTTCTAGCTTTGCAAAGGGGTTATTATTATTATTATTATTATTATTATTATTATTATTATTATTATTCCCTGGGACTAGGAGAGAACAAAGTGAGCACATTATCATCTAAGTTCTGAAATGATACCTCTTGGGGAGAAAAGCTTGAGCCTTGGCAGGCAAAGGCATGGGCCCGCTTCACTGGCCCCTGGGTGAGGGGTTTGCTGCTCATAGATAAGATTCAGTGTAGCTTGACGTTGTCAACATGTCCTGGTGCAAATGCAATGCCCTTCTCTAACTTTGCCTGGAAAAGTGGCTCTCAGGACAGCAACTTTCCTTTTCCAGGCACAGCATCCTGAGCATGCTTCCGCATAAAGAGCACTCAGACATTGGTCATTAAAGACATCAGTCAGTGCAGGGCAGGCTTTAGGAGTGTCACATGACATGTGGTTTAATCACTTGCGGGTAGACATGTTTTCAAGTGTATGCTACTCTTAAGTGTAAATTTATGCAAGTACTATATGGGGGCGTATCTGCAGGAAATAAGAATTTGCCATTGAGGGTCAGATTAGATTACAGTATAGATTACATTACAATTTTATAATTATATTATAATTAGGTTAGATTATTACAAGGGCTCCAGAACAAATGAATGGAAGGAATGGGTTAAGTGCTACTGCAGCCATTTTTTTGGCTTGGCTTTATTGTTCTTTCAGATGAGGAGCTATTTGATCACTCAAGTCTTGTGCACTCAACATACTGGGTGAGGGAGACATACCATGCAAAACTTTTTGTAGCCATAAGTCAGGCTGAAAGCTACCATACATTTGGGCTTATGTATTGTGCCTTTTATGGTGTTTTGGTCTGCAGAATGTATTAAAATATTTTGTTAAGGTATAATTTGTGTACAATGTAATGTGTTAACCCTAAGTATGCAATCTGATGACTCAATAAGAATTTAAAATCAGATAATTGTTGCTAAGATGAAGATGAGTTCATCTTAGGTGTGTACTGTGATAACTTAATGCACACAATCATGTGATCATTGCTAAAATAAAAATTTCATGGTCCTTTTTCAAAATCCTCTCCCCTCCCCCTTTACAGTCAATCTTCTATTGGCAATGCCTCATCTGCTGTTGTAGAATAATCCTCTTGTACACCGTGAAGATGTGTCACTCTGATTGGTTTAATAAAAAACTGAATGGCCAATAGGTAGGCAGGATTTCCAGGCACAGAGGACAATGGGAAGAAAAAGGGAGGAGGTGGAAGAGGCAGGAACACAGGGTAGACAGTATGCAGATAAGGTAAATGAGCCTCAGGGTAGCACATAGATGAATAGAAACAGGTTAATTTAAGTTAAAAAAAAAACTAGCTAGAAACAAGCCTAAGATATCCGCTGAGCTTTCATAATTAACAATAAGTCATTATTTGTGAGCTGATGGCCCAAAGAAAATCACAACCACAATCTACATCATTCATCCATAATAGTACATTTTTCATATCAGAATTAAAACATCTCTAAGTTTTGGTTAAAGTTTTTCATATCACTCATTTATTTTATCACTGCATTTGTTTTTTTCTTTTGTAACTTTAAATATGTGCACAAAATATTAAAATCTTTATCTTTAAATTAAAAATGTTTATGGTGCTTATATTTCTTGTGTATACACTGGGGGATTCAC